CCTTGAGGTTGGAAGAAATCCGCATTTGGGCTACTTCATGGAATGAAGGACAGCGAGTTTAGGTCAAAGATGAGAATTACAAGGACTAAGTGAATAGAAAAAAAAATAAAAATAAAAATAGAGGATTTATCAAACCTTTATTTCAACACTAATGCAATCACCAATGCTAAAAATACCTGGCACAGATAACACCAGATTGTTACGACTAATTTAAGAATAAATAAACTGAACGCAAATACGATTCTCTTGAGATATCCGATTTCTTATAATAATGTTTACCATGAGAGAAAAGTGAATGATCATTCAAAATAAGGGCAGAATCATGACTGGTATCAACATGTGCTGCATTAACACGCCATAGCGGACGCTGCTTAGTAACTTTCTTATCAACACACTCAAGAAATTCCTTGGACACAGAAACACGTACCTGCGAAAAAAGGAAAAAAAAAAACACCACATTACTTCACTCATCAGCTTACCAAGAATCCATTGGTATCCAAACTAAACCAACAAATACCATTTGATAATAAAACTTACTCCTGCATCAACATGTTTAGGACCCAAGAGTGGAATAATCACATGCTTAACATATCTCTGTTCAAGAACTTCCTTGTTCGGTGATGAAATAAGCTCCTTGTTTTCCCTCCACAGAAGTTGCTCATCGCTTGTTAAAACCGAAACAACGCCATTCGCAGTCATATGTGCTTTATCATTCCTCCGAGCCTTCTGTATACGAATCACTTTCCCCACCTAATCAAAGTACAGAGATAATATAAAAGATTGGTCCACAACAAAGTGACAATCATAATCAAACTTAAACAAACCAAATTCAATCCTGTACAAAACATTTTACTATAAAGACATTGTATAGTTCTTTACACTAATCAATCTGAGAATATAAGAATTTGTACAAGATATACTTTGATTCTGATTCTGATTCTTCATAGAAAAAGAGAGCCACTAAAACAGAATCTATATCCAAGTTTCCAACTAGAGGAATCTAAACGAAACTCATAAAGCAAAAAAGTCGATGACGGCTAGAATCTGAACTACTTTTTCCACTACGAAATCAAATTTCATCAAAATTGCTTTAACATTAACAGGATTCCAAAGGAAGAGAGATCGAAGAAGAACTAACAAAAAGCGGAGAAGATCCAGCGTAAGCAAGAACGAGATTAGCACCACCTTCTCCTCTATAAATCCAATCAGATGCATCTTTCTCCTCCAAAACCATCTCCAACCGATCAAAATTCTTCGATTTTGAAATCGAAGATCTGATCAAATCGAAACACCAGAATTTCGCTAACGCAATGCAATTGAATCGAAAATGAAGTTCGTTTTCTAGTAGTTGAAGAAGACGAAGGAGAGCCTTGAAGGATCCTTCTTCTTCTTCTTCTTCTTCTTCTTCTTCTTCTTCTTCTCTATGCGTCGAGCTTAAACGTGGTAGTGGACTAGAACAATGACGCTTGGCTTACTTTGTCTCTCTGTTTTGGAGGAGAGTCAAAATTGAAGCTGACCTCTTCTGAGGTCTACGATCCAAATTGGAACAAGAGTTTTATTGATGCTGTGTTTTAGAATCCACGTGGATGGGTTATGCTCCACGTGTTATTTCTTACTTTATGAGATTCACTGTTCTTCTAATTTTTTTTTTTAGAAAATTGGAAATAAAGAAATTTTTAACAAAATATTGTTAATATATGCATTTTAGAATATAAAATGTCAATTATTCCAGATAAAATTCGATAAACATAACACACTTTCTAAAGTTTAAATTACATAATTTATACACTTAGATTATATATTTTATACATTTTGCATGACTACGAAAAATAGAAATTATTTATGATTTACAATATTTAAAATTTCAATTTCTACGATATTTAAAATAGATATACTATACTTTAAACTATGTTATACGGAAATTAGAATATGTTGTCTTATCTTCACCTTACGATCTAAGAATGTTAAAAACGTTTTCTTATATTTTCGCCTATGTTATATGAAAATTAGAAAATAAATTATGTTTAACTTAGAATTCCTTTTAAAAAATTGACTCATAAAATAAGAAAATTGAAAAAAAACATATATATATATATATATATATATATATATATATGTTTGGATTATGTCTGCAAATTTCGAAGAAGAAGAGATTAAAGCTGAGATTCGAAGAGGAAGAGGAGATTGAGGATGCAAAATAAACGACAGCAGAATGAGAGGAATAAAGAAAAATAATCGGTAGCGGAATGAGAGGAAGACTGAATGAGCAAGAAAAAAAAATGTTGAGAAATTAAATTGGTTTAGGAAACTGAGGGTACAATAGGACTCAATTATAAGAAATCATATGTCACCAATCTTTACCCTATAATGCATATATGGATTAAAAACAAATATTTTGAAAACTTCTTTCTCCAAATTTTTATTTTTTGTTCAGGTACTTGAAAATTTTATCATGCTACAAATAAGGGAAAAAACCGCCATCTATTTTTATTTGGCCATTTAATACCTGTACTTTTAAAATTGGAATAAAAATTCCTTTTTTATTTTTTGTTGTCTTGTAAAATCATGGTTTTATAAAACTTGGTGATTTGGTACCTGCGAGTTAACAGTCGTTAACATTGCTAACGGAATCGTTAACTGGGGTTAAATCTTAACCTCACGTGGGTTAATTCTCTTACCTAAAGACACTGTTGCCCTTTCACATTTCCCACAAATCGATTTCTCTCTTCGAAACCCTAATCTCTTCGAAACCCTAATCTCTTGGTTTGTGAAATCGAGAGAATTGATGTGTCTGGGCGTTTGATAGCTTGAGGTTTGGCACGTATTTGAGTTCGGTGGAGTCTACTTAGTCGCGTCGTGATGAGGTATGTAATCGATTAAGTTCTTTAGGGTTCGTGATTTTCTGGGTTTCGATTTTTGGGGTTATTGGGGAATTCGAGTAGGTTTTTAACTTAATCTATCTCTTTGCAGTGGATTCGACTGTCTGAAACTCAATATAAAGTTCGGAGGAGATGTCTCCTTTAAGGATGAGTCGTTCGCATACAATGGAGGATTCGAGATGAGAGATATGCTGATGGATCCAGATTTGATGACATGGTCGATTTTCGAAGATTTCCCTAAAGAGAATGGAGTATCTGCTCCGGTGGAAAAAGTGTGGTATAAACTTGCACATGAAGACTTGGAATTAGTGAGAGCTATCCCCGAAGACAGAGATAGTGGGATTAGGCAATTGTGCACTGAACCTACACCTTTTGATCTGTCTCACCCTGCTGAACATGTTGGTGTTGAAGACAATGAGGAGTCCGATGTAGAGGTTGAAGAAGATAGAACTGCTGAGGAAGCAAGAGTACAAGATGATGGAGTTGATCCAGTAGAAGAAGTTAGGGACAGTGCTGTTGATCCTCGGTTTAGTGCCTTCTATGAAGAAATAAATGCAGAAGTTGGTCAAGAAACTCACCAAGATCCAAATGCAGAAGTTGGTGAGGAAACTCACCAAGATACAGAAGCATAAGCTGGTCATGATACCCACCAGGCTGGGGATCAAACTGAAGGAGAAGCTGCGGGCCAAACTAAAGAAGATGAAGAAGAGTTTGAAAGGTAATGCATGGATGTTGAGCGACCTGACCCTGCCATGGATACAGATGAAGAATGGGATGCCTTTGACCGTGAAGAAAGAGAGATATCAGGAAAAATGGGTAGAAAAACCCCCACCTTTCTTAAAAACAGATAAAAAACCCTCAACTTTTTTTGTGGGTTTTTAAACTCTCACCTTTTCATAAATGGTAGAATAAACCCTAGTGTTAATAAAGTTAATTTAAATTCAAATAAATAATTATATTAAAACATAAATAAATATAAACAATTTGATTTAGGGTTTTTCTTCTAAGATTCTAGTTTAAAATCTTTTTCGAAATTGAAATTTTTTAAGTCATGATGTAAAAAAGAGTGAAGTTTTACTCGTTTGTGTTACAAAAATTCATCAACGTGAAACCAAACAGATTTTGTTACGAATTAATTATATGTAAATTCTTATATCGAACCGAATATGAGTATATATTAATAAAGGTTTATTCGGTTCGATCACACAAATTTACTAACGTGAAACCAAATCAAATTTAATAATACTACGACAAGTACATGAATTTCCAAATCAAAATATTTTCATTGGACCAACTAAATAAGATTTACTTACAGTTAATATATATATATATATATATATATATTTATTTATTTTACGATATATTAAAATATAATATAAATTATATTTAATTAATCATTATTTAACTATATTTTTATTCAAAACCTGAACACTCGAAAAAAAAAATCAAATGTGATATCCTTTAAATTTTTGTAGTTATTATAACATAACTTCTAATGGTAATAAAAATGATTTGCCTAATCTCAACTAAATGTTGAATGAATTTTTGTAGTGCAAAAATCCTAATTTAAAAAAAATAAAATCGTAAACTCGAATTTGAAAAATAAAATCATAAATTAAACTTTTTTGTTTCTTACTGTTTTAATGAGTTTATTAATATTAGGGTTTATTTGACCATTTATAAAAAGGTGAGGGTTTAAAACCAACAAAAAAAGGTGAGGGTTTAAAACCCACAAAAAAAGGTGAGGGTTTTTTACATGTTTTTAGAAAAGGTGAGGGTTTTTTAATCCATTTTTCCGAGATATCAAGAGCAAAATACTCAAAGGATAGGCCACCTTACCTGTGGATGAAGCAACAGTTCAACAATGGAGAGGAGTTCAACAATGAAGCAACAGTTCAACAATGAAGACAAACTATAATGTGAAGTTGTGTAAATGGAGTCAAACATAGCTCATGGCTATATCCAGCTTTTCAATTGAAAGATTTATTGTTCTGTGGATAAGCGGGTAAAGAAGTGGGTGGTGAAAACATATGTTGATGCTCATGCACATGCTGTCAGTGGTAAAGCTAGGATGTTGAAGCAGGGTGTAATAGCTAGACTATTCAGAGATGAAGCAAGAAGGAGGCCGACTTTAAGATGGACTGACATTAAGGATGAGATTATGATGAGGTACACGATATCAGTTTCTAAATGGATCTGTCAAAAAGCAAGAAGAATAGTGTTTGATTTGGTGATAGAAACACAGAAGCAACAGTTTGCAAAGCTCTGGGATTATGAGGGTGAGCTTAAAACGTCTAATAAGGATACTCACACAGAGGTTGTCACCATTCCTCAAGCTAATGGTAAGCAACAGTTTGATAAATTTTACATTTGCTTTGAGAAGTTAAGAAGAAGGAAAAATGTGTAGCAAACAAAATATTGTTAATATATGCATTTAAGAATATAAAATGTCTTTCAAAAAAAAAAAAAAAAAAAAAAAAAAAAAAAGAATATAAAATGTCAATTATTCCAGATAAAACTCGATAAACATAACACACTTTCTAAAGTTTAAATTACATATTTTATACACTTAATATGTTCCACAAAATTTAGATTATATATTTTATACATTTTGCATGGACTACGAAAAATAGAAATTATTTATGATTTACAATATTTAAAATTTCAATTTCTACAATATTTGAAATAGATATACTATACTTTAAACTATGTTATACGGAAATTATAATATGTTGTCTTATCTTCACCTTACGTTCTAAGAATGTTAAAAACGTTTTCTTATGTTTTCGCCTATATGTTATATGAAAATTATAAAATAAATTATGTCTAACTTAGAATTCCTTTTAAAAAATTGACTCATAAAATAAGAAATTGAAAAAAAACATATATATATATATATATATATATATATGTTTGGATTATGTCTGCAAATTTCGAAGAAAAAAAGATTAAAGCTGAGATTCGAAGAGGAAGAGGAGATTGAGTATGTAAAATAAACGACAGCAGAATGAGAGGAATAAAGAAAATTAATCGGTAGCGGAATGAAAGGAAGACTGAGGCTTCGAATGGTAAAAGCAGTTCAAGCGTTGCAGATCTTGCAGAAGATGCAGGACAAGTGCAGAACATGCAGAACATGTAGGACAAGTGCAGATCATGCAGATCAGACAGTTCAAATATGAGTTCGAATGGTGAAAGTTGTTCAACATGTGCAGATCAAATTATTAAATAATAAATAGTACACAATATAACTAAAAATTTATTAAGAACTACATATTGTTATAAACTTTATTAAAAAAATACATATATAAAATACAGTTTTATTTTTAGTTTATTTTTTATTTTATTTTATATAATGTTATAATATATTATGCTATGTATAAATAAAATCATATAAAACTAAAATATATTAATCTATTAAATAATTTAAAATATTAATCATAAAATATCCAAATACAACACATAACGGTGAAAAAAAAGACAACACATAAGAAAAAACAAATTAAATTTAATGAAAAGTATTTTGATTTGCCCATAACATATCTGCAATATTTTCTCTTATATTTGCCATATGATTTCCATCAGGTATACCATCACTCTCCATGTCATCTAGATCATTCTCAGAATTTACGTTGTTGA